GCTCCAGGGCAGGCTGTTGATAATGCAGGAGACTATCCATGTGTAGGGCAAAGGGTATGTGGGAAGTCTCTGTACCTTCCCCGCAGTATCACTGCGAAAATTAAATTGCTCTTTTAAAAAAAGTCTTAATAAAGAACAAAAATAAAAACGAATCAGGATGAAATTATGAACTGACAATTATCTGTGGCTAGAGTTGCTCTGCCCACTGAGGTAGCCACTAGCCACCCCCACATGTGGCTATTTGGCACTTGAAACATGCTGCAAATGTACAATCAAGATTTACTATGCCAAAAAAGGGGGAATGTCTCATTAGTTGTTCTTATTTGATTACATGTAGAAATGATAATATTTTTATAGATAGGGTTAAATAAAATACAGTATTAAAATTTTTTTTAAAGACATGCTTTTCTTAAAAAAAAAAAAGATTTGGGGTGCCTGGGTGGCTCAGTCGTTAAGCGTCTGCCTTCGGCTCAGGTCATGATCCCAGGGTCCTGGGATCGAACCCGCATTGGGCTCCCTGCTCCGCGGGAAGCCTGCTTCTCCCTCTCCCACTCCCCCTGCTTGAGGTTCCCTCCCTCGCGTGTCTCTCTCTGTCAAATAAATAAATAAAATCTTTAAAAAAAAGATTTTATTTATTTATCAGAGAGCACGAGCAGGGCAGGGTGTGGCAGAGGGAGAGGGAAAAGTGGGCTCCAAGGTGAGCAGGGATCCCGATTCGGAACTCGATCCCAGGACCCGGGGATCATGACCTGAGCTGAAGGCAGACGCTTAACCAACTGAGCCACCCAGGCGCCCCAAGACATGCTTAATACAGCCCCCAATCAGTACACGTGGAATGAAGGGCTCAGAGCTGAGCTAGGAATCCGGCCCTGCTTACTTGGGCAGACAACTTAACCTCTCCGAGCTTTAGTTGATTGCGTTTTCCCTGTAAAATGGGGATGAATATTAATCCTACAGGGTTGTTATCATCTCGGGCCACTCTCTTTGGAGGAGCCCAGTCCGTCCCCAGTGTCTTCCTGTCACACCAGGATTTGTAGCCACGATCCTAATCTCGAAGTATCTTGCTTCATATTTGCTGTTTGTCTTGTCTGCTCTACCCTGGGACCATCTGTCTCCTTCACTGCTCTCCCCTGGCACCCAGCCCAGTGCCTGGCATACAGTAGGCATTTGCTAACTGTTTGCTGAACGAACAAGATAACAAATGGCCCCCAACAGATGTTCAGTGAGGATCGGAGACACCACTGTCATCTTTCATGGCTGGGACACATCTGCTTACTCACTGCCATCACCCCGGGGCCTAGCAAAAAGCTGGTATGGAAGAGGCGCCCAGAAAACCTGTGTGGAAGGGGTGAATGGAGCTCAGCAGCTTCACAGAGGGTCTCGTAGAGGGCCCCGTGGGCCCCTCTCCTCAGAGCCCACCGCCCTTCCTCCCCACGCCACGCCTGCCTCAGCCCCAGCCTGGCAGGCCCTGCAGTAGGCCCCCTTCCTAGCTGGGGCAGTCCAGCTGGCCTGTCCCGCACACGTCCTGTGAGAGCAGGGGAAGCACCAGGACTGAGGCCAAGGCTGCATACAACCAGGGCCAGTGGCCCAAGTCCCTCTGGGTGGCCTGGCGCCCACCCAGACAATCAGTGCGGCTACCCCATGGAACACAGAGACCACTGGTCAGCCTGGGGAGGGAAGCCCCTCAAAGCCGGCTTTCCAGGAGGCAGCAAGGTCAACCACATCAGGAACACAGTGAAAGGGGTCACACAGGGACAGTCTATAAATTAAGTCCCTGAAAGTCAGGCCAGAGGCTTGCAAGGCATCCTGGAAAAACCCCCTTTCCTCCCTTTCTCCAGTTGCCTGGTAACCACTGTGCATCTGGGCCAGAGCAGGAGGCAGCTAGGCACAACAGGAGTCCAGGCCCAGCAGACGGGTTGGTATGCTCCTCCTGACATGCACAACGAGGCGTGGGGGGAGGGCCCCTAGCTGCTGCTTTCCGAGGCCACCTGAGCAGGGACCCGGAGGCACCAGAGGTTCAGGAGAGCTGTAGGCAGCACAGGGAAGGGGAGATCTAATATGCAGCAGCAACTGCAGGGGGACCCCCTCTTCAGCTGGTGGTACTTCCCCAGGGCCCCTGTGCCTTTCTGATGACTCTCAGAGCCTCCCTGACCCTCGGTCTCCTCCTCTGTAAAGTGGGCCAACAATGAACACCTGGGACTGTTCTCCAGCAGAGAAATGAGAGTGAGCCCGCCCCCAGAGGAACTCACTCCAAAGGGAGGGTTCCCCATCACAGAGCCCATCCTCCCCCACCCCATTCTGCAGTGGACCATCTGTGTGCACTCACTAGCGGTTCCCTCCAGGAGCTGAGCTGGGCTCATGGAAGGAAGGAAGGCTTTTTACCCGCCCTTCCAACCTGCAGGCCCTGGGATGTGGTCAGTCCCTCAGCTTGGCTCAGCTTCAGGCTGGAGACCACCCCCCAACGGCCCCCATCGTCAGGGCTGGTGACCAGAGGCAGGAAAAGGCTTCTGTCCACCCCACCCCCCACCCCCCAGCTACGCTCATTTCACACATGCAGGAGAAGAGGGTCTCCTACTGCAAGCAGTCCACCCTTACCGCCTCCAGCAGCTGTAGGAACAGAAGAGGTCTCCCCTTTCCCAGCTCAGCCTTGGCCCTGAGCATCTGGCCCTCACACTCAGCAGCTCCGGTCCTCAGAACTCCAGGGTTTTCATTCAGGGTCTGAGCATCCCGTCCGCCTCCCTGACACCTGTGCGGGGCCCAAGGTGGCGCAAATCCCTGTCTGCCCTGCGCCCAGGTGCCTCAGACACCCTCCTCCCCCTTAAGGCTGCGGGTGGGACAAACCGTGAGGGGCGGGGAGGGGAGGTGGGCTCGCTCGCGGGGGACTTCAGCCAAGTCTGGGTCACGCCTCGTCTTGGCGGCTGCCCGCGGCAGGACAGGCAGGGGCAGCGGACCGGAGCGGAGAGGCTGGCCGGGCCCGCCA